CAAGGCTGAATGCCTGGGGAAAGCTGATGGCAGGACCATGTGGCCATTGCTCCCTCTGGTACCCAGGTAGGAGGGTCCAAGATCCGAGCACAGAGCTGGGTAGCAGGGAATCCTGAGCCCTTGTGCCAAATCCCTCTGGGTCTCGAGTAAGCTTCAGGTATTCCTCTCCTCCCGTTCTCCCGTTTCCGGCTCTAGTAAGCACCTTCTAGGGTGCAAAGGGGGTCTACCCTCTGCAGGGCTCAGCCCCAGCCCTATGAAGTATGGCAGGAGCTATGGGACTGCCTTGCAATGGCTGCTTTTCATCATGAGCTGGGGCAGGTGCCCTTACACAGGCTGCCTAGGCAGCCTTACTCTGATCCCCTAGGTTGGGGTTGGGGTGAGTGTTTGAGCCTGGTCTGCTGGATCCTAGCATGGCCCAGGCAAAGCACAGTTCATGCTGATACTAATAGCAAGACCCCTGCAGCTCATGCAGGTTGGTGCCCTCAGGGTGTCCTGTACTCTCCCAGACTGGAATTAACCCCTCACATCCCAGAGGGCTTTGGAGGGTTTCAGGGTTACACGCTGCAGTTTAGTAGAAAGCAGGTAAAGTTGCGGGCCGTCTGGACTGAGAGAGGAGCATGACTTAAAAGCTGGAGGAACTGGAGGCTGAGCAATTAGTGTAGCCCCCTATAATCCCACGTGCTGTTCTTGCTTGCCTTACTATATTATTGTTGGATCCAGCACAACTGAGGGAGGGATAAGGGCAGGGGGTAGCATGTAACCAGCTAGAGTGTTGCCTGGAGTACAGAAGAGGGAGTGAGGAAACAGCATTCCCAGCTGATACTCCCCCTCCCCCCGAATCCAGCCTGAAGCCTCTGCAGTGGGTTGTACACTGCTCTGTCAAGGCCTCTGGAGAGCAGGGGCTGGGTCCAGTCTTCATGATGTTGGATGTGTCCAGCCCCACTCCAGTCCCAGCCCAGCCCTATCTGGAGTCCTCTGCAGAGGCCAAATAAATTAGCATAGACTCCTCCCTGCCGGGCCTCTGGCTCCCCACAAGCAGAGGCTGTGGCAGCCCAGACCCTTTCCAGCACTGAGCTGCAGTGCTTGCTGGGCCTGCGGGCTAGCAGAATTAAGTGAGGGGCTCCCATCACCTGCCCCCCTGCTCATGCATGTCAGAGCCTTCAGTGCGGAGGCTGACTGGCCAGCTGGCTGCTGGCTGGCTGGTGCAGGCAGCATCTATGCCTGCAGAGGTGTGTCAACACTCTGCAGTGGGAGGAAAAAACCGGGAGTGAGGGCAACCGGGAGCTGCTCTGCTGCTTCAGTGAGCAAAGCAGAACTGGAGCTCTGCGCAGAGCATGTCCTAGGTTGAACCGGGGAGGGGGAGGGGGGACAGCAGCTCCACACAGAGCAGACCCCCCCCCAGCTTTGTTTTGCAAAAAGCAATGGTCCCAGTCTGTCTAGTGCTGAAGCATTTGTAGCAAGCCCCTGTCTGTAAGCAGCCTAGAAGCCCCTACCACACCAGCAGCCTCTGCCTGACACAGGTCCATCCTGCTGGGTGCATGGGGGGTTGGACAAGAGAGATGGTTTTCTAGGTCAGGGTGAAGCCAGTTCAGTGGTGGTCCCATCTCTGCAGTTGGAAACTAGCCTGGGATGCTCCCACCCTGTGGGTGTTCTCCAGTCTTGCCAGGGTCCCAGGGCTACCCATCACTTGTCCTTGCTCAGTTGAACAGGCTGTGGCATCCCTCTAGAACCTAATGGGCAAAGTCCATCCTCATTCTGTTGCCTGCCTCTGGTCCAATGGCAGCTCCACATGTCCCTGCAATGTGCCTTTCCCCCTCTCCTGCACAGCCTGGACCCTGCCTTTTAGACAGGGGGCAGAGTCCTGGTAAACAAGATTTTCTGCTCCAAGATGACTGGCATGTGCATGGGATGTATGTGTGGCATGTGTGCATGGCATGTTTTACATGGGATACCAGCCTACAGGAGGTCAGGGGTGTACTGCTGCTCCACAGATTCAAATGAGCTTCATAGTGGTTGGAAGAGGGGCAGGAGGAAAGGGTGCACTGAAGTGTTGGATCTTCAGCATTTGGGCAAAGGCTGGCTTCAGCATGAATGTCCCTCTGGAGCTATTGCTTATGGCCTAGTGTAGGCCTGGGTCATCTCCTGCTTATGGACTGAGCAGGTGCTGAATGCTCCATTGGAGCCAGAGACTTCTTGTTTGCTTTGCCAGATGTGCACACAGCTGCATGCTCTCCTACAAGTGAGCCAAGCCATTGTCACATAAGTATCAGATCCCACAAAGTCCTGGGAGGCTAGATTCCTGCCCCAGTCAGGGTCAAGGACTTTGAAACAGGACTTTTTCAAGTGTTGCCTGATGCTGTCTGAGGCTAAGACTGTGGCTGAAGCTGCAGGTGCCACAGGGGGGCAGACTGCATGATGCAGGGGGTTGAGTGTAGCTTGGATGCTGATGAAAATGTCAGGGGGGCAGTACAGGAGCAAACTCAGCACCTGGGACGCATGTCAGGGGGAGAGACCATGGGCTACACTTCTCACAGTGGGAGAGGTTCTTCCCTGCTAGAGCACTGTAGCCATGGGACTGGCCCTGGTGGACAGCAGCTCCCATCAGCCTTGGGCCTCTCTATGGAGTCTGTCACTGGGAGGAGGTGAGAAGTGTTGTGGATGTGCCAGTCTGGGCAGGGCAGCTTTAACTACAGCCTCTCCCCCACAGGGCACTGTTATGATGAGCTGGTCGCTCCCCTGTACTCTTCGTCCCTCGGTGCTTCCTCCAGATACAACATCTTCTACACACCTGGCTTTGCCCGGCTCTACAGTGAGTCTTGCCCACCTCCCTGGGTTGGGATCCCAACCTTTAACTTGAGGCCCTGGGAGTTTCCAGGGCACTGGCATGTTGCAGGCAGCAATAGCAAGAAGGCCTGAGAATGAGAGCCAGGCTCCCAAGGAATTTCTTCCTTGTTCTTCTCTTCCAAAGACCAAACAAGCTGCCTGGTCTTCAAAACCTTGAGCAATGGTCCTGGGGTCCCAACAGAGTGTGGCAAGGGACCCTCTGGGGCCACCCCTGCTGCCCTGACACGCTCCTGAAATGGGGCTATGTAGAGCCCCTCAAGCATTTGCCCCTGCTGCCTTGAGCAGCTCTGACCACAGCCTCGAAGCTGTGGAACCCATACCTCTGCATCTAGGATGAGGGGGCCCTGCCCTGAGCAGTGAAGTGGGAGGGAGCCACTGGTCTTGGAAGCACAGAGGGCTGAGCAGGCAAAGCCAGGTTGGGCTATGGGGCTGAGCTCTAACCATTCCTCCTTGTGCAGGCACTAGTGGCTGGTCTCCGGACCCCAGGGACAAGCAGCCTTGGCTCCAGATTGACTTGATGCAGAAGCACATGATCAATGCGGTGGCTACACAGGGGACATACAACACACGTGACTGGCTTACCCACTACATTGTGCTGTATGGAGACCACCCAAGCAGCTGGAAGCCCTTCTTTCAGCGAGGGAGCAACTGGGTATGACGTTGTTACTGTCCCCTCCTGGGAGTCAGAGGGTTCTGTAGACTCCCTGCTATGTGCTGGAGTGCTCCCATGGGCGTGTGAAAAGAGTCCATCTGTCAGGAGCTGGGGAGCAGCTGTCTTCCCCCTCCCAGCTCCTGAAATGGAATGGGTGGGCAGGTAAAAGCTTCCCCCCCACATATGACCCACAGCACATGACCCACAGAGGGCAGCCAGGGTAAGCCTCTGCAGGGCTGACACTCTGGGGGCCTGGGATGACCACAGTCAGTGCAGGGGGACAGTATGCCTCCTGATGCCAGTTGAAACCAGCTTCTGGGTATTGGACAAGGAAGGGCCCAAATGGAGGGGCCGTGACTTACTCTGGGCTCTTACGCCTTCCTCAAAGGCAGCTGAGTATGGCACATGGGCTGGATAGTCTCAGCTCCTGGGCTTTCCTGTGCTTCCTGTCACAACTGGTGAAAGTGAGTGAGGAAGAACTAGCGAGGGAACCAGAGGGGCACAGTCCCAGAGCTTGGGGGTGTGACTGCCCTGGAAGAAGGTGATTGTTGGCTGTCACATGAGTGCAGGGCTTCTGCTGACCTTGGGCCTTCTTCCCCAGACATTCTTTGGGAACGTGAATGAGAGCGGTGTGGTGATCCATGACTTGCACTACCCCATCCTGGCTCGCTACCTCCGCATCATCCCAGTGGGCTGGAACCCCAGTGGCAAGATTGGGCTACGCCTGGGCCTCTATGGCTGCCCCTACCGTGAGTGAGTGGGCCCTAGGGATTGAGGGGCTGGGACAGGATGATGGGGCTGGCCCTGCCTGGCCATTTGCACAGGTGCTTCATCTCACCCCAGAGCAGAGCAGCAGGAAGAGGGTCTTAGCCCCTGCACAGGAGAATCTAAGGTTTATGGAGAGGTGGGGGATGTGAGGCCAGTAAACTGGAGAGCTGGCTTGACCTTGAGCCACATCACTTCCTTGGTACCCATCACAGTCTAGGCTGAGCACAGCCAGTGGGCTTGCAGGTGACTGGGGATAAAATGAAGGGGAGTTCATTCAGCTCTGTGACGCCCCCAGAGCTGAACTGCAGCCCCACCTTCTGGAAACTGCAGCACATGTATCAATCTTGGAGCAAAGCAGGTGAGTCGCATCATGGAACCCCAGAGGCCAGGAGTTCCCAACCCCTGGGCTGCTGCCTGGTGCCAGGCCGCAAAGGGTTGGCTGCTGGTCCGCAGGAGGGCTGGCTGCTGGACCAGCAAACTGCAGACCAGCAAACCTCGGACTGAAAGTGACTGGCATACTGTAGACCGGCAGCCCAACCCTTTTTTATACGGATTATAAAAAAGAGTTGTCTGCCTCCCTGCAGTATGCCGGTCACTTTCAGTCCGAGGTTTGCCAGTCCTCGGCATAAAAAGGTTGGGAACTCCTGCCATAGGCAATACATAAGTGTTGGCAGTGGAGGGGAGGGGTGTGGGGGGGTGGGGATGGGGTAAGTGTGTGCTGCTGCCGCTAGGCATTGGCTCTGGCCAGGCTATAGCCCTGCCATCAGCGCCTGCACCCTGCTGTTGGTGCAGACATCAGGGGTGGGGTGGGGCATGTTCCCCACCCCCCCAGTACGTCACCTATGTCCTGACCCTTCAACACTGATTTGTCCTGAGAAGCATGGCATGGGCTGGGCCCTGCACCAGCCATTTGTAAATGTCTCCCACGTGGTTTGAAACCTAGCACAGTTCTTCCAGAAGTGAGATTCCCAAAGGAAATTACACCGTGAGGGAAGGAGCTGCTATTGCAGAATATTCAAACACTGCATTCACAGATGCCAAGGCCTGGGAGGTGCAGTTGCCCAGGGATCACATGGTCTCACATGGTCCTAAAAAGCATAAGCCAGAGGACCTTTTTCATTCCAGTAAAAGCTTTACAAAAGGAGTAAGGCAGGATCTGCTGGCAGCATTTACAAGTATCATTGGACATCTGCTTCTCTGTCCTGGGCACTCCCAGCCTTTGCTCACCCGTGTCCTGGTTGAGAGGCCATGTGACAGGCTAAAGCTTCTACGACTTGTGTGCTGGGCCCCTTGATTCAGCACTCATCCCATAATGTAAGGTCAGTTCAGCATCATGGGATCTGTCTTGCACAGTCAACAAAGCATGAGGTTGGGTGGTTCCTGCAGCTAGGCCTCTTGTGTTAGGATTGAAAAGCCTTGATTTCCCATGACCCAAGCTTCTGTGAATCCTGTCATGTCACACAGCCTATTTCTTGGTGGTCTCCTCCTGTCTGAGGGCTGGATCTGCTCTGGGTGGGTTCAGAGACAGGTGGGGGAATACAGGACTTGTGTACGGCTGACCAAAAATGGGAACCAGTCTCAATGCTGTGGCAAGAAGGTAACGAGGAATCTACTCTCTGCTGGGCTGTCCTTGGGGCAGACAAATGAAGTCTCTGGCAGGAGGGTGGAAATGGGGTGTGGGCGATTTGGTCATGTGTCCCTGGTGGAGTTGTGATTTCACACCAGATTTCATCACCCAGGGTCTGATGTGCTCTACTTTGATGGGGATGATGCCATCTCCTACCGATTCCGAGGCAAGACTGTCAGCACCCTGCAGGACACCATCTCCTTCAACTTCAAGACATTGGAGCGGGACGGGGTGCTGATGCACGGGGAGGGCTCACAGGGTGACTACATTACTGTAGAGCTGAAACAGGCCCAGCTGGTACTGCACATCAGCTTAGGTGAGCCTGAGGGATCCCAAGGGACAGTGGTAGTGGTGCTCTGTCAGGTTGAGGGGTTGGGGGCTAACAGGTAGGGGTGAGCTTTCAGCAGCAGTGGGGCAGAGTGCTGTCTAAGCACCCACCCCTATGGACAGTAGAGTGACTGACTGCCCTCCCTAGGCAGCAGCCCACTGCACTCCAGTGAGGGGCACACAACAGTGACAGTGGGTAGTCTCCTGGATGACCACCACTGGCATTCACTGCATATTGACCGCTACGGCCAACATGTCAACCTGACCCTGGATGGGGAAGTCAAACACTTCCGCTGCAATGGGGATTTTGACCAGCTGAACCTTGACACCGAGGTAAGCCATTCTGGCAGGTAGGGTGGAGGTGGGGGCTGCAGCTGGAGCAGGTGGAGATGCTTCCTGCTACAGAGTACAGCCAGAGCAGTATGGAGGTCCCTGCAGGGGAGACTTGGTTATAGTGGCAGGGGTGTTCCCCCCTCAGCTCATAGCTCTGCCTAGGCTCCAAGTCCTGACAACATCTTTCCCACAAGCAGCTGCAAAGGGGTCAGACACAACTTATCATATTGCTGGAACAACAGCTGCAGGCAGCTCAGCCTGTACCATGTGATGCCGTCTAAGCCAAGATTTGGAGATAAGCCAGTAGCAGTTCATAACCAGGCCCTCCCTCTGTTATGGGAGATCTCTACTCTGAGCTGGGTGTGGATTAATGAGGGGGATACACCTGGACTGGGGAAAAGGGGGGAACCAGGCTATAGCTCAGCCCAGTTAGACAGAGCTCCCCAACCCAGCTGAGGAGAGAATGGGAACTGGTCCCTGCAAGGTAGGCATGCTATCCCATCCTATCTATGCAGACGGTGAGCAGTGCCCCAGTCCTGTGTCCCTGCTTCCCCACAGGTGTTCTTTGGGGGTGTGGTCAACCAGGAGAAGCAGAGGCTGGTCTATCGGCAGAACTTCCGGGGCTGCATAGAGAACATCTACTTCAATGGCGCCCACATTGCTGATCTGGCTCGCAGGAAGAAGTCCAACATCCGTTTTGAGGTGAGGGGCTTGGGCAGGGAGAAGAGGTTGAAAGACCTGGAAGACTGGGAGAGGGCAGCTGGGAAAAGAGAACCCTGGATTGCCCCTTGACCTGGGCCTGGGGACCTTTTGCATGGCAGAGTCTCTGACTACAAGGATGAGGGCCATCAGCCTGAGCTCAGTGATAAGGCTGAGGCTACAGCTGGCCCAGTGCCAGTAGCTGGCCAGCCTAGCACTTGGTGAACCACCCCAGATCAATCCTGAAAGGTCGTCTTGGGCCTGGGGCCATCGGCTACTGTCACTAGGCAGCAGGAGTGAGGGGGAGTGAGCTCACCATGGAGGCTTCAGATGGGTCACTGCTGCTGAGGGCTTCAAGTAGGTCACAGCTGCTCCCCACAGCCTGAATGAGCCCATACATCCGAGTAGCCAGGGAAGGTTGTCATGTCAACTGCCTCTCTGCAGGGCTCTCCATAGTCCCATGCCCTGTTACCCAAGCTCAGCAGAAATCCCTCACAATCTCCAAGCTCTTGTGACGATGAGCAGAGGGTGGCTGAGGGCTCTGGGCGCCTTTCCGAGGCTATGTCTGTGGCAGACCAGTAGGGGGCGCTCCTGCATTGAGCCACCCACCTCACTGCGCCCGACCACCTTCCAGGCTCCGAGTGCCTCCCTGGGGGTGGGCCTAGTAGCCCTCAGGGGTACTTGATTCACTTCAAGAAGCTGGGATGCTTCTCTCAGTCGGAAGCAAAAGTAGAGGTCTCCCTTAGTCAGCCGAACCAAGGGGACCTCAAGGCATAATCTAGACCCCCTCCCAATAAGTCTCCCATGCTAGGTACAAAGGAGACCTTTATTGATTACAAGGGGTAGGGTTAGAATAGGGTACAGGGTAGAGCAATATCAGAGAAATCCCATAGAGCAAACTGCCCTGGCTGGGTAGCCTTTGATCATGCATCTGAGTTACTGCAAGCTATGTATCTAGTTATATCTCCGGTAACTTACTCACAAATATCATCCAGAGGCAGGTGGAGATTCCCTCTGGAGGCAGGCAGTTCCTTGATCATGCGTTTTGAGAGAGAAAGAACAAGTTTCAGATGGTCCAGCTCTTCTCTGTCCCTGAGTCACCCTCATGGCTGCTGCCTCCTCCTCCTGGGCAGTCCTTCACTATATAGCCCTTGTGACCTCATTTACCTGGTCCAATGGAGGCTAGCACCTGTTGGCTGTCAGCCAACCAATTTGAAATACATCACTAGTTGCTGAGCAGACTCTAGCCCACCAGGGGGGAAGCCCCTCACCCAGGTATGTGATATTAGTCAGGTAGGCAGAGGGAGCAGGTTTCCCCCCTCCTTCAGTAATGGACCCAGCTCAGGTTACTTAAAAAGATAGGGTAAAGGTGTGTATCCTCTGCTGGGCCCATCCTAATCAAATTGTCACAGTGCAGAGTTTTGGGAGGAGAAACAAAGGTGGCTTTCTGCCCCGTACTGGAAGAGGGACCAGCCCAGCATAACTATAGGCATTTGGCATCTCGCTGAACTCCATTCAGTCACAGTCTCCTCAGTCCCAGAACCTCCTTCATGCCAGTAGGCAGCCACTCGGGGGGGCCTTCCAGGGTCAGGAGGATGTTAAGGTACTTGTGCCTTGAGGATCTGTACCCGAGTCTTGTCCATGTCAGCCATGTGATAGCAGACCTGTGCCCTACCCCACTCCTTTGTTAGGGGGTTGAATCCCTTCCTGCAAGGAAGTGGCCCCAGCCTCATCCTGTAGTCGGCACTACCCTGGGAGCATCACCTCACACCCATCAGGAAGGGGAACAGCTACCTGCACCCTTGGAAACACAGCCCTAGAGTCTAGACCTATGCCAGACAGGAGTGAAGAGCAGAGTTCCTGTCTGCTAGCCCTGCCCAGCTCCAGCAATGCCAGCCACCTTCTCCATGGCTGGTGGGGTAGTCCCCTGGGTCAGGAAGTAGCTGGGCTGTAACCCCCTGTCCCTGCCCCTCTTCACAGCAGCAAGATACGTGGCTATGGTGCCACTGAGTCAGGGTTAGGAGACTAGGTCCTGGTGGCCACAATGCCCCCTGGTTTCTTTGTCTTTCATGGGTGCACTCCCCTTCACTCACCCACCAGACCTTGATGTTATAGTCTTTTAGAAACCAGGAAGGCTGCCCTAGGGCTTCCCAAGCCTGATTGTGGCCTTGTGGCCACAGGTGTTTACGGTCACTGCCTTTAAGGGCCAATTGCTTGGGTTCTGTCCTCCACAATACCTATGCCCATGCCTTGCAGGTGTTGCTGTACCATCACTCTCCTGTTGGGGCTTCAGCCTCCACCCTTTTTCTCTAGCTGAACCTTCTAGCTTGGGCCCACTGTATTAGACCTGGCTTCTAGGCACCAATTCTAGTCTTGCCCTCTTAGGCCCCTGGCCCCTGCCTGCTGGATTCTGGATGCCCCACACACTGCCCCACTCCAGGCTCTGGCTGAGCCCTAGCAGGGTTCAAGGTCATCAGGTGCCCCTAGGGCACTAATGGGACCTCCAAAAAACACCCCCCACCACTCCTCACAGTCCCTCTCAAATCGCCAATAATAAGCTGTAGCAAACTTAACCTGCCCTAGGTGTAGCCACTCAACAACAGTAGTTAGCTACCTTGAAGCCAGGTCTTCCCTTACCCAGGGTTGTGGTCCTTTTGTAAGGCACTGGTATTTGGCTGGCAGTACTAAAAGCAGCTCTAAAGTCAGCCTGGCATTCCCCAGCAGTCTTTCTGGCCCAGAGCTCTTTACGTAGCAGCCTGCAGAGCTAGCTTCCTGGCCAGCTCAGGTCCTGGGCTTGCCTGTTTCAAGTCCAGCCAGTTTCTGGTCAGGTGATTTCCTAACATGGCTTCAGGTTTCCAGTTGCCTATTCCCTTGCAGTGAGCTCGCTCTAGGCATAGAGCAGGTGCAACCCTTTACCCTGATAGGCCTCTCTAGCTGCAACTTTTCTTCTTAAAGTAACGGGAGCCACCAGTGCTCTGTTACATGTGGCTCTCACTGGGTCTTGTGTGGTTGCTTCCAGGGCCGCGTTGGCCACTACTGCGAGAACCCACCCTACGCACCCATCACCTTCGCAGGCATCAACAACTACCTGCAGGTACCGGGGATCCCACGCAGGAACCGTATGTCTGTCAGCTTCAAGTTCCGCTCTTGGGATACGGTGGGGCTACTGATGTACACCAGCTTTGCTGATCGCCTGGGCTCCCTGGAGATGGTGCTGAGTGAGGGCCAGATCAATGTCTCCATTACCCAGCCTGGCAAAAAGAAGCTGGAGTTTGCAGCAGGTACAAGAGCTTGGGAAAGGAGGCTGGGGGCCCATGAGGCCTGTCAGTCAGGGACTTGTACTGGAAGGCCCAGGGCTTTGGCAGGGAATTGTCTCCCATTCTTGCTGATGGTTACATGAAGGCTCCTGGGGACTGATGGGGCCAGCAGACCATTTGCCCACCATGTCCCCCATCACCAAACCCTACATACAACTCTTCCTTGTTTCCAGGGTACCGCCTCAATGATGGCTTCTGGCATTCAGTGCTGTTGGTGGCACGGGATGGCTCAGCCGTGGTAACCATTGATGATGATGATGGGGCAGAGTTCCGCGTGGCGCACCCTTTCCAGCTGCGCACCGGGAGCCAGTACTTCTTTGGGGGTGAGTGGCCCAGGCTAGAGGGGATGAAAGGAGGTAGGGCAGAGCCAAGGGAGGTTCAGACCATTGTCAGCACTCTCCCTGTCTCCATCCGTCTTCTCAATGATCCAGGTTGCCCCAAGCCTGCCTCCATCACTGGCTGCCTATCAAACCAGACTACTTTCCATGGCTGCCTGCAGATGATCAGTGTGGACGCACAGCCCGTGGACTTGGAGTTACTGAAATATCACCGCCTGGGAAAGTACTCGGATGTGTTCTTTGATATGTGTGGCATCACAGACAGGTACCACATTGGATGGATGGATGGACAAGGCAGCTGTTCCGAGCCCAGCTTGTGCCCCTTAAGATATATTGCTGGTCTGGCTCTCCTTCAGTTCTGCCAGCCCTTAAAGGGACAGGAGTGTAGTGGCTAAATAGAAGGGTTGTTTAGCACTGCCATGTACTCTTACTATTTCAGCTTGGGGTGGAGTGTTTCAGCAACCTTGTGCCTTCAACCATGTGGCCTTTGGCCCTGACCACAGCTGCCTAGATTTACTACTCTGCCCACTGCCCCACAGCCTCTCTGACTAGGGGCTGCCTGCAAAGAGCAACTGACTGCTCTGTTCTAGCTTGGTCTTTACATACTTTTGAAATGGGGGAGCTGGAAGCAGCTGGCTTGCCCATAGAAGGCAAGCCTCCCCACTGCTACCCTCCTCCAGAGGAAGGAAGACAAAGGGGTACCCATTGCAGTGGGGATGGGAGAAACTCAAGAGACTTGGGCTCCTGTCCTTGCCCTGTCACTGACTTATCTGGGTGAGCCACTGCATCTCTGTGGACCTCATTGCTTCCAGCAGTGAGAATCACCTTTCCTGTCCTCCACACTATGCTGTGCTGCCTACCTGAACAGTTTCCTTTGGTGCAGGTCTGCTGATAGTGGCAGTTGGAGCAGATTGCCTAGCCTGGGTAGCTGTAAACCTTGTTGAGGGGGGTCCCTGCTCCATATACCCCCTGCATTGGCAGATTGTCTCAGTAAGCATCAGGGTGGCACAGGGTGTCGGAGCTTAGTCCCCCCTTGCTCCCCTGCCTCTGCTCTTGCCAGGTGCACCCCCAATCTTTGTGAGCATGGTGGTCATTGCCTGCAGTCCTGGGATGATTTCATCTGCATCTGTGACCTGACGGGATATCAGGGAGAGACCTGCCACAAACGTGAGCCCCTGGGGATGGGGACTTGGGTTTGTCATGAAGCCATTCCCAGCCCCTGGCAGGTTGCCCAATGTCCTTGCTATTCTAACCCAGCCTGTTGGTTCCTCTTTATAGCTGTTTACAAAGAGTCATGTGAAGCATATCGGCTCAGTGGGAAAACAACTGGGAACTACACTATTGACCCTGATGGCAGTGGGCTCCTCAAGCCCTTCACTGTGTACTGCGATATGAGAGGTACTGGGAATAAGTGGCAACAAGGATCTTGTGTTCCAGAAATGGAGCACAAGGTCCCTATCCAGCTCCAGGCCAGGGGGACTAGCTGGCTGTAAGGGTGGGGAACAGGGCATGGAGCTTTTCCCCTCCAAGCCAGGCCTCACCCATCTAGCCCTATGATGGAGGTTCAGGAACTGGATCGAGCCTCTCCCTTGGAGGAAACACACAGGTACCACCTGTGTATGTGGTCTCAGCCCAGTTCCAGGGGAAGGGTTTCCACATCAGAAACAGTATGACTTTGTCCTTTGTGGTGAGGCTGTAGGGAGTGACAGCCCGTTCCCCAGATGGACCTTGAAGCAGGGATACGATGAAGATGAGGGGACTGGGGTGATAGGGATGGAGGGATGGAGTTGAAGTGAAAGTAGGAAGCTTGGGGGTCAGGAGCTCCCAGTCTGTTCTAACAGGGGCTTCTGGCCCTTCCCTAGAGGATCGAGCATGGACCATCATCCGGCACAACCGGCACTATGCCACACGGGTGTTAGGCTCCAGTGTGGACCGGCCTTTCTTGGGGGCAGTGGAGTACTGGAATGCCTCATGGGCCGAAGTGTCAGCCCTGGCCAATGCCTCTGAATACTGTGAGCAGCGCATTGAGTTCTCCTGCTACAACTCCCGCCTGCTCAACACACCCTGTGAGTGTGCCATGGGCAAGTGCATGCAAGCATGTCTGCTGTAGGAAAGTCACTGCTACCATGTCAGTGAGGGGGGTGGGCCCGGAAGGGCAAGGGTGTGAGGGGGGCTGGGTCACCACATCACTGTGTGCCAGTGAGTGTGTGGGTGTGGAGGGCTGACAATGCCCCTGGCCCTGCCCTGACCCCTATCTTGAGGCAGGGGCCATATAGCTTGTGGGGCTGCCCTTGGGTGACAGGACAATGCTTCCCTCTGGGTAGAGTCTGCTGCCCTGGTGCTGCCATGCCCCCTTTAGTCTGCCCAGCACTCCTTGCACAACAGTACTGCTCCCTTGAGGCTGCCCTGCACTCGGCACCAAGTAACTCCAGGCCCATGACCTTCACCTCCCATCTCTGCATCCTGTCCCCAGCTGGGCTGCCCTTCAGTTTCTGGATGGGCCGCCATGACCAGCGCCATTACTACTGGGGAGGCTCACGCCCAGGCATCCAGCGCTGTGCCTGTGGCCTGGACAAGAACTGTGCTGACTCCAGGTTCTTCTGCAACTGTGATGCTGACCATGCCCTTTGGTAAGCCCCACACCAAGGGCTTGGTGGACACAGGGCTGGAGGAACTGGGCAGGGCAGCAGGATGTGACTGTGATGGAGGAACCAGGAGGGGCTACTGGGGAGGAGTGAAGCAGCATGAAGTGTCAGCAGAGCAGTTGGGAAAGATAATGGCCAAAGAAGGGGTTGCTGGGGGACAGCACCAGCAGTTTGGTACAGGGTAGCCAGGGAGATTAGGCTGCAGTAGTATGGGGCATCTGGGGATAGGCTGAGGCGGTATTGAAGGTTGGGGAATGGGAGACTGGGACACCGCAGGAATGTCGGCTGGCTTGGTTTAGGTTATGGGCAGGCAGACAGTAGGCCAGAGTAATACTGTAGAAGGTGTGCTGGGAGTTGGCCCCAGCTCCATTGTGATGCTAGCTTCTCCCATTTCCACTCCCCTGCCCCACTGACTCTGGCTGCAGGAGGGTAGACAAGGGACTCTTGAACTTCGTGGATCACCTACCTGTCACTCAGGTTGTGGTTGGAGATACCAACCGATCCAGCTCTGAGGCCCAGTTCCTGTTGGGGCCGTTGCGGTGCTACGGAGACCGTGAGTGCTTGCTGTGGAGGAAAGGGCCATGGCTGGGTGGTGAGAGGAGTCACAGAGTCCTGGGGCTTTCTACAGGGAACAGGGTCAGCCCCTGGGTCCCTGTTGCTGGTCTAGCTATGAGCTGGGCACAGTGTGCAGGGCCCAGCTTTGACGTTCCCGTCTCTTGCAGGGAATACCTGGAACACAGTCTCCTTCAACAAAGGCACCGTCCTGCTCTTCCCCACCTTCCAGGTCAACCAGAGCCTTGACATTTCCTTCTACTTCAAAACCACTTCCTTGTCTGGCGTCTTCCTGGAGAACTCAGGCTACAAGAACTATATCCGTGTTGAACTCAACAGTAAGTGGCTGGGCCTGCCTCGGCACAGGGTTGGGGGCTCTGATGGGATGGCCAGAGCTTGGCTAGAGTGGGGAGACTGGGCTGAGTTTGCAGTGTTGGCACAACAGGGCTAACTGAAAAGAATAGGAGGGAGCTGGTTTTGGGAAGATCCAGGACTAGGGCCTCTTCAGTAAGAAGCCCAGGGCTGGGAGCAGTGGCATGGAGGCCTCCTGGGAACTGAAGTCTCCTCCTTGCGCAGCTACCAGGAATGTGCTCTTTGCCTATGACATTGGGAATGGGCACGAGAACCTGACAGCGAGTTCCATCTTCCCCTTCAATGATGACGAGTGGCACTGGGTGCAGGCCGAGCTCAATGTGAAGATGGTGCGACTGCGAGTAGATGAGCTGCCCTGGGTTGTGCGGGCAGCCCCACCCCAGACCTATGTACAGCTGGAGTTTGACAAGCCCCTTCATGTTGGTGAGTGCAGGGAAACAAGGAACCCTTCCCCGTCACCCCCTCAGGCTGGAGCCTGTGCCCCACTGAGGCCTCCCCATCTGCGGGATTCTCAGAGCTGGCAGATTACCAAAAGAATCTCGCCAGAAATTCTTAGAAAATCCCCCACCGCCCCATAATCTCACTCCTCCTTGTGCAGAAGCAAATAACAGCAATTGCAGCTACTTTTCAGAGGCAGAAGATGTCCCACTGAGCCCTAGAAGTCCCAGCCCTGGCACACTGGTTTGGGGCAAGGCAAAGGGATCCCCTGGGTTGCCGTAGTAGGGTCTGTCTTTAACCAAGCTGCAGCATTAGTGTCAATGCAGCACTGACTACTGGTGAAAGCTGGGGGAGGTGCTGGGACCTAGGACACTTGGGCTCTACCCCACACTCTGCTTCTGACTCCCTGTGTGACCTTGGTTGTGGCCCTTCTCTCAGTCCTTTGGTTTTCCCATCTTTCAGGTGAGAATGGTCACCCCTCCAAGTGACTGTGGGGCACCAGGGTGTTCCCAGGACCCTGAGCTCTGGGGCAGAGGATACTAGGGAGGGTCAGGGAGCTCCTGCCCCTGGCTTAGGAACGGGCTGACCCCACTGAGGGGCAGACAGAACTCAGCCTGCATGATCCAACTCTTTCTGCCAGGAAACAGGTCAGGGTCCAACCCACTCTGGTAGCACCAGTTGTCTGGCAACCCAGTGCTGGAGGAGGCTTGTGCCTGTGCTTACGCTGTCTTTCTGGTGCCAGGGGCAGCTGAGCACAAGCTGCGTCCCTTCCTGGGCTGCCTGCGGGGATTGCGCGTGAATGGTGTGACGCTGAACCTGGAGGGCAAGGCTAATGAGACGGAGGGCGTGCGGGTGAACTGCACCGGCTACTGCCAGAACCCACGGGTGCCCTGCCAGAACAGCGGGCTCTGCGTGGAGCGCTACAGCCACTACACCTGCAACTGCAGTATCTCTGCCTTCGACGGGCCCTTCTGCAACCGTGGTCAGTGCTGCCTGGGCCATGGGTGTGGGGATGGAGACAGGTTGAGTTGTGGAGTCACACCTATGAACTTAAGAGGCCAGAAGTGAGGGCCAGGACAGGAGAAGAGTTGGTGGGGGTAGGCAAGGAGTTGTAGGGTGCAGCTGCTAGGCCTTAAGCCAAGGTGAGGGCTATGGTGGTTGGGGCAGGAGGGCTTAGCCAGGGGTATCCATGGCACAAGTGCCAGCCCAGAGAACAGAGTGCAGGAAAAAGCATGTTGTTCCTGTATAAGAATATGACTGTGGCCAGGTGCTATTGAGGTACCTGCATGCTGGGGAGTGGGATGGACCCCATTTCCTTGGGCATCTGGGATGTAGGGGTCAGGAGTGTAACTGCCATTGTGGCTACCTTCCTACCTTACTGCCCCTGTGGCCACCTGCCCCTGTTCCACAGATATTGGTGGTTACTTCGAGGAGGGCACTTGGGTTCGCTACAACATCCTGTCAGCTTCACTGTATGCTACCCACGAGTTCGCCAGTATTGTGAGCCAGCCCCTGCCCGGCTACAACTTGACAAGTGAGGAGGTGAGCTTCAGCTTCAGCACCACTTCCGCCCCTGCTGTGCTGCTCTACGTCAGCTCCTTTGTCAAGGACTACATGGCTGTGCTCATCAAGGATGATGGTGAGCCTGGGGGATGAGGTGTCAAACCCTGCCCTGCCTGCCCTGTCTCAGGGCTCCCCTTTATCCCACTCTCCTAGCAGCCTCAGGCCAGAGCTGGCTCCATTCCTTCTCAGGAGCCCTGGCTGGAGCTGTTAGCTACACTTTTCTCCCTTCTGGCCTTGGGGAATCTCAGACCCCGTTTGCTGTGGGGAGGCTCTGTCTGCAGGCTCATAAAGCTTGAGGCAAGAAGGGACCATTCCGCCATCCAGGCCAAGTGTCCTGGAATCCACAGGCCAGAAATGCCTCAACCCCAGATCTGGCCATCAGCTGGGCCCTGTGCATGAGAACAAGACACAGGAGCTAGGCACCTGAGAGGAGACTTTGCACCTGTTCAGAGCACTCAGCAGCCTGTCACAGCTGTGGCAAATCTCTGATAAGCAAGGGGAAGCTAAACCTCTCCCTGGAGCTCCCAACCCCTCAGCACCCCCATCACACTCTGAGTCTTGCCTTGGCAGGCAGCCTGCAGTTGCGGTACCAGCTGGGCACCAGCCCCTATGTCTTCGCACTGACCACCAAGCCTGTGACAGATGGAAGGCCCCATCGTGTCAACATCACCCGTGTCCACCGCACGCTCTACACACAGGTGCCTGGTGGGCTTGTGGGGGCTGCACCGGGCAGGGGCCATCTATGCAGGCTGGGAGGGCTGTGCCAATCGGCACTATGCAGAAAGGGGCTTCACTGGGATTTGGACACCAGGGGTTGGGGATCGGCTCCAGAGAGTGATATGGAAGGAATGTTGCCATGGTAGTTGAGCTGTTGCTGGACAGAGTTGCCATGGGAGGCAGGGACAATGGGGCACTGGAAAGAATGAAGCTTTCTTGCCTGGGTCTTCTGTAATTTGTGCCAGCAAGGATGGGTAGAGTCAAGGGAGCAAAGCTGCCTTCTGGGCCTAACCCCTAGAGGAAGCTGGCTGGGGTGGTGCTGATGGGGCCTATGATCTTGACCTTGTCCCTAGGTGGACTTCTTCCCTGTCATGGAACAGCAGTTCTCTCTGTTTGTGGACAGCAAGCTGGACTCGCCCAAGAACCTGTATCTGGGCCGTGTAATGGGTGAGTGGGGCCTGGGGACCTATTCCCAGGGCCCAACTCCTTTCCCTCCCCTGACACCTTTGCCGCCATGAGGGCTGGGAACTCCCTGGTTCCTGTGCTGCCCCTGATGGAAACATTTCCTCTACACCCCAGAGTTGCTGGGAAGCCCCCTACCTGCTCTCTAGGGGCTGGAATGGCTCATTCTCCTTATCAGGGCAGGTCCCCTCCTTTCATTGAATCCTAGAGAAGTAGGGCTGAAAGAGGTCTCCTAGTCCAACCCTCTTGACTGAGGCAGGATCATCCCGATCTAAAGCATCCTGTACAAATCCATTGTCTACCTCTTAGTAAAATTGCTGTCAACCCTGACGCACCACAAGACCTAACACCCTGACCTGCCACAAGTAAAGCAAGGGGACCACAGAAGCCAACATGGTGCTTCTGTAGCAGGTTGTCAGTATATGTTCAAGAGATCTTGGGCTGAGAGCTATGCTTCCAGTGACATGCTGTGGGTCTCTGGCACTCAGGGGCCAATGCTTGCATTAGCACCCCCCGCCTTCTTGTAGCAATAAAGTCATGTTGCACGATAAGAAAGCTGAAGGGCCCAGCTGGTGCCCCCCTCCCCCCAATGCCCAGGGGCCATGGCTCACTCCCACCTCCCACCCCACCTCGGTCTGCCACTGCATGCTCCCTACTGCAGGGAAAGGTACTCCTCCAGTCCTGTTCCCTTTCCCTCCAGGAGATCTCCCTAGAGCCATTCCCAATTCTGGTTTCATGCAGGGAGGTGAGGAGGTGCCCAGGGCATTGATTAACCCCTCCCTCTCTGTGCTGTGTAGAGACGGGTGTAATTGACCCAGAGATCCAGAGGTACAACACACCTGGCTTCTCCGGCTGCCTCTCAGGGGTGAAATTTAACACCATTGTGCCTCTCAAGTCCATCTTCCGCCCGAGCAGCATGATGGTGCACTACAATATCCGGGGGGAGTTGGTGGAGTCCAACTGTGCATCCATGCCTCTCAGCACCATGCCCATTCCCCCGGAGATGGATCCCTGGTACATGGGCACAGGTAGGGCCCTTTCTTGACACCTGCCTCTAAAACTTGGACCAGGTTGTGCCAGGCTGTCTGCACCACTGCACCTGTTAGTGCTTCTGTAGCCTAGAGGGCAGCTGTACTACAAGGGTCCTCCAACATGGTAGAGACTGGACCATAGTGAGGGAAGGGGAGGTTGCACAACTTAAGTGATCAGAGCTGGGAGCCAGGACTCCTGGGTTCTGCTCCAGGAGGATGACACCCAAGGTGTGTCCCTTCTGCTTGGCCTCTGGTGGGCCTTCCCAATAGATGTTCTGGGACAAACTGGAGAGTTGTTGCCTTGCCCCACTCCCAGTTCTTCAGGCTCTGGGTTAGGGCCCTTCCCCACCAAGCAGGGCAGGTGGCACAGCAGTAAGGGGCACTAGTGCAAAAGTTCTTTTCTCTGACTGTAAGGACTTGCACTGCCCTCTTTGTCTTGGTGGGACTCTCTGGGGCAAGCCAGGGGAGTGTGCTGGTATGGGATTGGTCTGGACTGTGCTCATGAGAGGGGCTTGGTAGTGGAAGGAACATCCCCAGATCCTTCCCTTGATGCCAGCTTTTGGCTCCTCCCTATCAAGCTGCTCCAGCCAGCTGCTGGTGCTGTCAGCCCAGCCCTGTCACCTTTCAGCATTGTCCCTGCAGCTACTGCTTTGTCTTTTGCAGAGTTCCCTCATGTGCATGATGACGGCTGGATTGGGATCATCATTGGATGTAAGTGACTCCCTGCTGTGTTCAAACCCATCTAACAGCCTTTGCCCTCTTCCCCCTGTGGGGTGGCTCTGCACAGGCCCCATGCTGGTGTGACACTAGCCCAATTTGATCAGGGGTAGGACATGGCCAAAGAGCAGAGGGGTTGGGGGAGTAGTGCCTTCCAGCTACAAGCAGGGCCTTTTGGCCCTGGCAGTGCTGGACTATGGATCAAAGTCTTGGGTGCCCTCCACACCCTGCTGTCAGGCCCCCAGCCCTGCCACCATGCTTAGCGCTGTTCTCCTTCCTCTTCCAGTCGTGATATTTCTGCTGCTGCTCCTTGGTGGCCTACTGGTGCTACTGTATCTCTACTATCACCGCTACAAGGGCTCATACCACACCAACGAGCCGAAAGCCATTCAGGACTACAGCAGTGCAGTCAAGCCCCTTGCCAGCCGCAAGGACCAGAACCTGCCCCAGATCCTGGAGGAGGCAAAAAGTGACTAGCTGTTGGAACAGGGCTGGGTGGAGGGGAAGGGTTAGCTCCACAGGCACTTGGCATCCTGCACCCTCAGGAGACTCGCCAGAGGTGTTCCTCTCCCAGGAGCAGTACTGGAGGGTGTCTCCTGCTATGGCCAGGAGGGTAGTGAGCGTTGCGGGACCAGAAGGCCAACCGAACCCGAACTGCCAAAACCCAATGCTGGACTGGGGCAGCAACGCCTTCCTCTTGTGCTGCTTCTACCTGCCCACATCACACCCAGCGTTGCTTGGGGCTGTGCCTTGCATAGCCTGTGAGTCACCTGTGTGAGGACTGCGTCTTCCTCCTATTGTACATCAAGGCCAGCCCCCAAGTACTCAGCCCATAACAGCCCAGACCCATGGTGGAAGTTGTATGCCAGGTGGCTCTGCCCACTGTGGTTTGCACTACCAAGCTGCAAACCCCCTCCCCTTCCCTTTCCCCCTCTGTTGGGGGTCAAGCTGCAGCCAAAACTTCTCCCAACTCCCACAGAAAGATTGCAGCCAATGCATCAACATGAAGCTGCTTTCTGAGCCCAGGCTGGGACAGGGCTACACATCTGTGACCTGTAAAATTGCCCATCCCAGGCTTACAGAGGCTGTTTTCCACACAGACACACAGGCATGGCCCCAGTTGAGGAGACATGCTTGTGTCTATTTTACACGCTCCAAACCTGTTGTTTTGTAGGGGGAATATGCACTGCAGTATAGCCTGGCTTTCCACATGTCTGGTTAGCAAAGATAGCACTTAGATTACCTGCTTGTTTACTTGCTTAGCAAAAGCCATTAAGTGAACCATGCAATATAGAGCGTATGAGCACAATCCTTAGGTTGTGCTCTGAAACCTGTGCAATATCCCTGCCAGTATATGCAATGGCAGCTGCTGCCATGCATGAGCCTGCACTTCGCTGAGATGCTGCTTCCATACAATCAGGTACAGACCATCTGATTCTTTCTACCATTTTTGTTGTCAAGTTCTCTATTACTCACTGGGTTTTTTTATTCTGTCACTTTGTATAAAAAAGTACCAAAACCAACCAAAAAACCAACAAAACAAAATTTAACGTCAGATGCTACATTTCAAGTGAGTGTTGTGGTAAATGGTCTGTAGTTTGCTACTTCTCTGTAAGAAGTGCTAGTTGTGCTGATAACTTCCAGCCCAGTGAAAGTGCCAGTCACACGCTTCATTGTGATGAGATGTTACAGAAATGCATTTATCTTCCCAAAGGCCTGGCTCCACTGGGCACTTTATTTTTGAAAAATCTGTTTTGTTGAATGAAGTGTGAAGATATTCAAATAAATGCAGAATGACAGCATTCAACACACTCCCCGACCTCACAGTGGATGTGGGGAGATGGGAAGTGGGAGGCAGAGGAGTGACACAGCCTACACTGCTAGGGCAACAGACTGAGCCCACTCCTTTTCTAGCTGTGTCAGCCATGCCGATTCCTGGCAAAAAGCCACTGGAGAGTGAAATGCTCTACGCACTCCCCTTCTCCTTCCCATTGGAAGGCTCTGTCCTTCAACTTGAGCATCCCTACCCTCAGCTCAGCTGCCTCTTGTGCACGCACAGCTCTTTCTGGAGGCAAAGGACATTGTGAGTCAAGGAGAATGTGTCTACATGAACTGAAATACCCTGCACAGCAATCCCCATGATAAAGAGGATGCTGGCACCAAGTCCTGGGATGCTGAAGCCCTTGAGAAAACAGCAGCAGAGATGGATGGGCAGGGTATTGTGGGATACCTCAGGACTCGAATCCTCAGCACAGCCCCAGGGAAAGTGGAGCTTTGATTTGCTCCAGCTGAAGGACTGGTCCAGGGTCTTCCAAAAGACTCCTCACCCACCAGCCTCCCCTCTCCAGTGCAAGGGTGCAGCTAACTCGCATATGAAGCTGAGTTTTTTCCCCTCTCTTGTTGCTACATGACACAAGGTTTTTTCTTGCCTCTCTCAGAAGCACAGGACACTAGCTGCAGCTAAGGTTGGAGATTGTGACTGGGGAGCCAAGCAGTGCTGTAGACTTATGCTTAACAATAAATAGAGCATCATCAGCTCCCCTGGCTGTAAACATGGAGCTTCAATAAGGGCTTGTCAATGAGCTGGCAGGTAGACGCAGCACTCAGCTCACTCACCCTTCTCCTCTGAGCCAGCTGCTCAGAAAACAGCAGACACCAGAACTGGTGACAGCGTCCTGAGGCCAAAGCAGCTTGCTGGAGGGCAAGTTAGCTCCAGCGTCCTACTGAGCATTGATGTCAATCTCATCTTCTAAGCTCTTGGGCCATCTGCTTTACTAAAGGCTTCAGTTGGATGTTGCTGACCATGTACCATGTTCTGGGGCTGCTGGCCCAGGAGCTTTCTGGCCAGTGCATGTGTAGGCCAAGCTGCAGACTGCATGCAGGTAAGTAAGCTCCTCTCTGGGGAACAGGAACAGAGGCAGTGGCTGGACACAGGATGTTCACTACCACTTTATTATGACAAAGGTTACAAGCCACATGATTTTTAAAGTGCATATAATTCACTGGCAGCAAGCCACAGACACAAAGCCTCTTGCAGTGCAGATATGGCCAAAGTTGCAGGGGAACATTTAATGACACAGTGGGCAGGGACCAGCCATGTAGACAAGGGTATAATAAAGCAGGGCAGAGAGTTGGCTCTCAGGCAGATACAGGAAGAACAAGAGTGCCTGCTCCAAACAGACCTGAACTCCAGCAAGACCCAGGGGCCAGTCCTGTGCTTAGCAGCCCTAGCAGAGAGGGGGCACACAGGCCAGACCAGCCCTTGGGACCCTCAGCAGCCAGCTGCAGCAGCTCCAATTCTGAAACTTGAATGCACTGGACGTGCCTGTGCCTGGAGAAGCATCTGCATAGGACTAGACCCAGGCTCCCATCTCCCCTGTATCACAGCCCAGTCCTGCATCCTTAGTAACAAACAGAAGAGGTGTTGCCTGTGCATGGCTGGGTGCTTGACCCAGGACCCACCCTCAGTGCTCACTCAGTGAAAGACCTCCTTATTCTTATCTCACTATGCCAGACTGATGGCACTGGACAGTGAGGCAGGCTCCATTTCCCATCCTTGTGTTCTACTCACAGGGTCCCTGCTGGCTCAATTCTAGCTGTGCACTCAGGGACACCCTTGCAGCTGCTGCCCAACTCCACCTGTCCTGGATGCGCTGGTGCCATCACCCCATCTCAGAGATCCTTATGCAGGCAACAGCACAACTAAGAGTCTAGTGGTAGACCCCAGCTTCTTCCAAGTCCACTTCAAACCCTTCCCCTGACTGTATGTGTGTGTTTGTCACACGCCAGCAATACACCAGAAAAGCTGGGAAGAACCAGGACTACTGTGTCTGGAAAGGAGAGAGGACTGAGGGGCCAGGCAAGAAGGCTCCCCTTCATCACAGCCTGTCCTCTGCATCATGCAGTTACTGGGACTCTGGGTGCCTCTCCCCCAACACCCAAGTACTTGTACATACAGACATGAGGGTGCCTCCCCGCAATTTTTCTTCCCATTTTTCTACCCTTTCCAGCTCCCCCACAGCCTGCAGGAGAAGCAACAGGAGAAGCAGGGGTTGAGATTCACATGGTTTCTACAACCCAGAAGCTCCTTGGAAAGAGGAAGAGTCCCAGCTGCTGGCTGGGGAGGGTTATTTTAATGTGCTTCCTTGTTTGTTTGTTTTTTGCAGGGGGTGCTAAGATTAAGCCCCTGCCTTGTTGTCCAGCTCAAGAGCCATCTCCACACCTGGGGCAGGGTCTCACAACAGAGCCCTTAGGCAGCCTCTGAGGCAGCCTTTGGGCTCAGACACTGCCAAAATAGCAGTGTGCTGATGTTGTTCAGAACATGGCAACAGCAATGGCAGTCAACGAAGAGCTCTGTGCAATGGAAGAGGCCATAGCCATGAAGGGGAGGCTGTGCCAATGGGCTGGAAAAGTGCTTCAGACAGCACCCAGGATTGGTAACTGTGAGAAGGGAAGCCATGATTGGACGCTGCAGCAGCAAGGGTGGACTGAAGAAACAGATTCAGTGCTGCAGTCAGAGCACCTAATCAGGACATTCCTGTGCCATGCCAGATACCTTTGGAGCAGCAGGCCTTCCTAAACCAGCTTGCTGACTCCCAGCAAGGATATCTGTTCCTTCAGCATTTCCCTGTGTCAGAGGGGCCATGTACTGAGGGACACTGTTCATCCAACAGCCTCCCCAGAAGGTCAGCCCATGTCCATCAGAACAGAGCAGCACCAGGCCCTGCAGATCTAGATGGCTCTCCCAGGAAGGCCCCAGGCACAGCATCTCTGAGTAGCTTGGAAACATTCAATGGGAGAGTGACAGCCAGAATAGAGACTAATGAGGGCATCAGGGCTGAACAGAGCCCAGGTCCTGGACCAATTCCCCTAGAGCTTTGTGTGTCTTGACATAGAGGGCCCAGACAGCACAGCCAGTGGAAATGGGCAACATTCATCCATCGTTTTCCTGAGCCAGGCCACTAGGCAGGCACAGAATTAGGGGCAGGTAGGAAGGGGCCTTGTGAACTAGCTGTCTTCACACCCCGTTTTCCCTGCCATCTCCTTCTGCACCTCTGGCAACAATGTGCTCATCTCTTCCCAGCACAATTGCTTTCCATAACCAAAGTGACTCTTTGCATAACATTGAAAGGCCCCATTGCAGAAACAGGGTTCATCTGGTCTCTGTCCTCTGGCCAGCAGGAAGAGAGCCTTGTGGGCACAACAGCTGGCAAGTTGACTTAGGCCTCACTGTTGGGGCATGGGCCAGAGTCCCTAAGGTTCCTAACAGTGAACAAGCGTCCTGATTAGCAGCAAAGGAAATCAAGAGAGAGCACCAAACACACACCAGAAACAAACGTTTGCTCCAGGGGAGAATTTTCAATGGAATGGCATCAGCCACCCCACCTATTTTCCTGCTAAGGCAAGCCCTGCCAGGCAGGGCCATTGCATTACCATCCCTACAGGCTGCGAGCAGGTTGTACCTTACTCAGGTTTGTTCTTTCAGCATCTGGTAGATGGAAG